GTCGACCCCGAGGATAAATGGCCTCGTTACAGAATAGGAGCCGTTGATGGAAAAACAAACCTGAATTTTTTTTCAGATCTAATACATTGAGATGAGTGTTTTAAACACACAGATAGCTTATCAGATAGATAGCTAGATGAATAAATGCATGAGGCTTTAAAAAAAGAGAAAATTAATCCTTGACAATCAAAGGTCACTAGACACATTTGCAGATTCAAAAAAGGCTTGTGGTAATCCGTTCAGCCCCGGTATAATCCATGTAGTTAATAATGAGAGGAGATTGTGAATATCAACGGGAACTTCTCTGCTTCCCAGCCACATGATAATGGGAATGAGGCTCCTGAGAGAGACAGCCTCAGTTTCAGCCAGCCTACTTGGTCCTGCCACGGACCAAGCAGAACGGAGAGGACAGACGTCCTCCAAACACTGACCCAAAGTCAGTCTCACGCAGAGCCATAGGAAAGACACGACCATGGTTCCCTGTATTTATGTGAAAGGAGACACTCAGCCGTGCTACAGAAGCATGACTCATTACAACCAGCAAACTACTCCATCACTCCTGCAGGTTTTCTTAACCAACATCTTCGCTGAAACTCTTCACCAGTCATGCTAACCAGAGCCCTAGCCATTGAATCCGGGTCCCCTGCCCAGAGACTGGACTGAGAATGGTGACGATCTGTCTCGCGAAGAATACTAGACAGCCACACCTCCTCGTCAGCTAAAGAGAGCTCTCTGCAGGCACAGACGAGTGCCGCCGGTAGCGACTCTCCTCAAGAGCTGAGCATGACAACAAAACGAGACGGGCAAGAATTCTCCTGAAAACAAAAGCTACACCAACCACAGCCAATACCAGGATGTGCTCAAAGCATACCTCCATGTTTTTTTAATAACCCACGGAACGGCTTGTGACAATGAAACGCAACATTTAAAGATGAGTTAAGGAGGCGAGTTAATTAAGGGTTACTTCACATCGCAAACCCAACAAGCATGCGATCACAACCTCCTGATCGGTTCTGTAGCCCACAGCCCACCAACGCGTAAGAGTTCAAAGCCGGTAATCTGAAGTGTTCACAGCGTCCTTGAGCTTGTGGGGAAACCAGCATTAATGCCGCAGGCTCTGCGTGTGAGCGCACGCCTAAGGGCCCGCAGCTTCCGCCCCGTAGTGTATTCAAGAGCCCGCCCACAGGTTTCCTGCTTCCTCCCTGCGCGAAGATCCCCGGGGGGTGGGGGAGAGCGAGAAGCCGCTACCCTCCAGTGGCAGGGAGGCCGAGCCCCGGCGGACCCGCTGCAGAACTCTGCTCCGCGCGTCACGGGCTGCCACTGGAGCCCACGCCGGTCCGCCTAGCGGAGGGGCCGGTGGGGTTATCAAACTGGGGAGGCCGCATTGTGCGTTGCCCTGGTTATACTGAACCACGTGTGGCGGGACCGTATTCAGCAACGAATCGCTGGGACTGGCCTGGCCATGAGACGCGCACCTGTCCACTCCTGCCAGGTCTGGTTATGGAAATCAGGGAAAGAAGCCACAACGCTGGGAGAATATTCTTCCTTCTGACCGGTCCTACACTTCACGGTACACAAGGTCAGCTACCCGGACGCTGGTGTCCGGGACCTCTCAATGGTGACCAGCAAGTCACTCCTCAGCCCCGACATTGAGCAAGGACAGCCCTCTGGCCATGCCTTAGTAAGAGACACAATGAGGGATGTTATAATCAAGCTAGAGGGCGTCTTCCTTTCTCTATGTAGAGCAGAGAGGAACCTGTGGGAACAGTAACCTAATTCACGTACCTGGCGTCTCTCAGCCCGGCGGCTCAAGGCTGACTTTGAGATGTCCGAGACTTCTTGAGCACGGATGCTATAATCGTACCTCACCAATGATCGCTTACAAAAACAGCACCAGGAGGGACTCACGTCAAGAACTGTAACAAAAATTAAGGCTTTCACTGCTCAGATGAAATTTAAAAGCAGAACGCCTCTGAACAGCAATCTACAGACTCTTCATCAGGAGCTGGGTATGGTTTTCTTCCTGCACTGGCATATTTGAAAACAGAACTCACGGTGTTAATGGTGATTAGGGAAACCCTTTGGTAAAAATGAGCCAATGAAACAGCCTTTATGCCCACCAGTGTTTAAAATATCACCCCATGTGTGCCCGAC